AAAAGAGAACGCAACAATCTCCTTCGATAAGAAGTACTCAAACACTTTGAAAAATATTATGCAATACTTTTATTGCCAGAACTGATGATAAATTTCACATTCTTGGAGAAGATGAGGACATAAAACTAGAGAAATGTTTCACATAAAAAAGACTATTACAAATTTTTTGACGAATTGATTTGGCAGTTGAGGCAAATGAAAAAATTAAAACATTCTTGGAGAAGATAAGAACATAAAACTAGAGAGATGTTGAACATAAAAAAGACTTTTAAAATACTTTTTGTTTAAACTGACGAAGTAGCTGATATTTATGGAAAAAAATAAATACTTTTCTTAGCATGGACCGTTCACTTATATTTCACATCAGCTTGTTACTGACTTTTTGGATAAACTTTTGTACATATAACATTACTGTAAATATATCGGTACACAGTAGGAAACTTCCCATCAGAAATAACCAACTCTCGTATATAAAGAAAAAGAACAAGCAACAAATAAAGAGAAATTAACTGATTAAGTTTTGCACATCAGCAAGAGGCTATCAATTCTTTCTCTTATTGCCACGTGTAGATACCCTAATGAGATAATTTCTAAGTATTATAGAATTTATTTGATGTCCTTAACTCAAAATATTTTTGGACTAGAAAAACCAATAAGATAAAATAAAGCAGGCACATCCTCACCACAACCAGCTTTCCAGCATTTTCAGGCCTTCTAGCTAAGCTGATCGCAGCAACTGCAGCAGCACCAGATGAGATACCAACCTAGAAACAAGGATGGAGTAAATGCGACCGTATTTCACATTTAAGAAAAAGGAAATGTTTTCAAGGGTCATCAACAAAGCAGTTACGTTTTCATAGCCAGTAAAGCATGAGACAGGAAAGAGAGTTAATTAATAAATGATGAAGAATTGCATTTTTCTGTGCAGGTAAGAAAACTCAATTGGGAACCAAAAGTACATAATTTTAGATAGGAGAAGTGACCTAATTACTAGCCAAAGAGAACTTTTAGCAGGAAATTTAGAGAGAAAATGGACAATTTTATATATTTTACCAGCAAGCCTTCCTCCAAAGCTAGTCTTCTTGCCATTTCAACAGCTTCGACATTAGTAACCTACAATTTATGCTAACAAAATTATTAGTATAGAAAAAACTCAAAGCTATCAGAAAGCACACATAAATCTCAACTGTTTTCAGAGTTAGATGTCCATTAATGACCTAAAATGAAAACAAAGCACCTATATATAAAGTTGAGCTGTTAATCCACTTTAACATTTAGTAACTTAAAGTTATACCATAGATACTCCATGCATACTAAACTGTAAAAACAAGAAGATCTCCTAAGCTAACAAAGGTATGCCTCACATGAGACATGCTCATGGTCAAGTAATGTCATCTTGGCTACTGATTCCAAATGGATTACACTCATGCACCAGCATCCACATGCCTGTACAGATTCCAAATGACAGATCTGAAATTGGAATAACACGTTCCTTAGCCTGAATCTGGTTATAGAACTTTAAAATAGAAAATAGCAGAAAAAGAAATTGTAGAATGCTTCTGCAATCTTCCCCTTTCTAACCAAAATTTCCTAAAAAGTTGGGCTTGTTAAAGAGAATCCAATGATCTCCTTGAGTAAAAAAGAAAAAAGAAACTCAAAAACTTCTTCTGAAATTCTATCCAATGCATTTATTGCCAGAACTGATAACAAATGCATTTTTCAGGACAACATAAGGACATAAGACAACCGTGGTAACTTCTCACAGCAGAACAAATCCCATACCCAAGGAAAAACAATTGCTGCTGTTCTTAAAATACTTGGAAGCAACTGAACCCCTCCGCATCTAAGGAAGAAAAAACAGCTGGTATTTTAAATACTAAAATACTTTCAGTTGTTGCTTTATTTTCATTATCGTCCCTGGCATAACTTTCCCATTAAAAATGTCCTTGTCCTCAAAGTAGGATAAAGGTGCTCAACTGCTGGTTTACAAAATGCATCTGCTTTTAGGCTTCATTCACTAGGATGTGAGATGCATGAAGAGAATCAACATGCAAATCATTCACCTCTGTGTTATTCTGGCACTTCTTAAGTAGACCAGAATAAATTTTGCAGATTTAATTGGCAAGTGAGCTTGTGCATCTGAATGTCATTCTTAGCCTATACAGTTTGTCGAACTCCATCACAGAAGCGGCAGAAGGGAATGACTAGCTTGTGGGCGAAAACACCCTCTAAATAGCTCTTAGCCTTTATCAGAGGCAACTTCCCAATTGCATGGTTTGCTTCCTTCATAGTCTATTGTTTATAGAGAGGTAAAGGCTAATAATAGAGTATTCTTTGATATCTTGAGTGTGGAAGTGAGAGATTATTAAGGAATAACTCTCCGATTTTTTCACCGGTAACCAACTACTTAGGTACCAAAATAGAAAACTTTTACTGAAATTCTGCCCAAGGTTTTTATAGCCAAAATTGATAATAAATATTGTTTAGGACAAGAAAAGGCCATAATATTACCCTGGTAAGTTCTCATACTGAACAACTCCCACATCCAAAGAAAAAAATGTTAATGTTTTCTAAATTTCTAAACTACTAGAGTATTAATGAAAATACATAAAATGCTTGCAACTGTTCTATGTCTATTATACTCCCTATCATAGAACTATAAGATCAACTCCCCAGAGTTCAGTATATATGATGCAACCTCAATATTGTCAACCATCAAGATTATTCTGACAGGATACTGGGAACCTTAGGAAAGTCTTAAATAGAATTTTCACAAAGTAAATCAGGAAAAATAAAGAAATTCTTTTTGCTTTACAACCTTAATAACCTCATCGAGTAATTTGACATTCAAGATGCTTGGTATATAACCTGCATCCAAATTCTGCAATCTGTTAGCAACTAGATCACACAACTGTCATCAAGCAGAAATGCAAAAGAAAAAAAAAAGAACAGAAAAAGAAATCATGCAATAACTTATAAATTAAATTATTTTTTCAAAAGGAAAAAAAAAAAACCAATGTGCATTACCTGGTTTGTCTCCAGATATTACACTCCTCTCTGCAGGTTCCACACCGACTACCTGAGAAATATATGTTAATATATACATATACATATGCCAAGAAAAGAATTAAAACGCTGTCATCCAGAATGGTACACAGTAATGAAAGGTTAGAGGGTTAGTGCCCCTTTTTGTAGCCTATAGACTTCACAAGCCTCCAAGGGGCCCAAAAAACAGGATGCCTTTTTTTGAAGAAAAAGGAAAGGATCAGCCACATATTGGAAATTTTGCCTGTCAGCATACTCATATAGACAAGCACGATCCTATGTATCTCTCTTAGTCTATACCAGTAGTTAAACAGATGACAACTGTAACTTATTATTAATGTCCATTACATGAGTATCTTTACAACAGTGAGAACTGTTGAAGTCTTAAAGACAGGTAAAAACTAAGAAATTGAAATAAGACCGCGAACTAGAAGAAATCAAAACAAGAAGAAACCTTTATGTCTTTATTCAGTATTTTCAAGTAACTCCCAGCACCTGTAACAGTACCACCAGTTCCAATTCCAGCAACAAATATATCAACATTACCCAGAGTGTCCTCCCATATTTCTTTTCCTGTAGTTTCAAAGTGGATCTGCAAAATAAAGAAAATCTTAACAACCAATATCACTACGGAAAAACATGATTCAAGTTTGGCATTCAATACATTCAGCTTTGATAAAGTTAATCGTACATTACCTTTGTATTTGCCATATTGTCAAACTGCTGAAACATGTATGCATTTGGAGTGTTCAGAACAATTTCTTCAGCTTTATCAACAGCCCCTTTCAGACCTTTCTCTGCATCAGTAAGTACTATTTCTGCTCCAAATGCACGTAAAAGTATCCTTCTTTCAACATCTATGGAAGCTGGCATAGTGACTATAACCTTGTATCCTTTAGCTGCTGCAACAAAAGCAATTCCCAGCCCAGTATTTCCACTTGTTGGTTCCACTATTATAGACTGCAGAGAACAAAAAAAGATGACTAGATCTACAAAATATGAAACACAATGCATATTCAGAGAAATAACAGTGGAAGCATGTGATCACACAATTCATAGTTAGAAAAATAATAACACAGTTATATGATCAACCTTCCCAGGAATTATTGCTCCACTTTCCTCCCCCTCAGATATCATGCTCAGACCAATCCTATAAAGTGAACCAATTAGAAAAAGGAATCATCAGTTATTTGCCACGTCCTTTTTGAGGAAGGCATAAACAGTTGCCACTAGTATGCTATTGCAGGCAATAAGGTCACTCACTACCAGTTGAGTATGGGACCTTATTTATAAACTTTAATGAAATAACATTATTTACTACAACATCTCAATGTTCTATCAAAAGATACCTGATAAACTGTTCAAAAATGAAATCCTAGACATGTTAAATAAAAGGCTATGAAAATAATCACAGATCATAATTAATAGCAAAACTTTAACCACTACGGTATTATTACCTATCCTTCACACTCCGACAGGGTTCCATAGATTCAAGTTTTGCAGCAATGTTTGCCTGACAGCCCTCTGTTACTTTGTTGAGATATACCATTGGTGTTCTTCCAATCAACTGTATAAAGTTCCAAAAATACTACAATCAGTAAAAACTTTGAACAACTTGCATTCTTGTTTATAATAAAATTAGTCCACCATCTTCATTCAAAATAACAAAAAAGAATCTGCCCTCATGCACTTTGGTAGACATGGCTACCAGTCATAGTGCCCGACACTGGTAGAGGGTGTTCTGGGGAATGCAATGTGTTACTTATGTTATTAATATCTTGGCTTTAGCTCTGTGACAGGATATCAAGATACAGTGGCTTTCAACTGTTTGATATATTGTTTGGAAATTTTTAAGAATTGTGGATGCAGGACCATGCAATGGGCAGTTAATCACCTTGGGCGCCCATGGTCAGCATACTTTAATTGACAAGAAGGAAAGCACAATTTTGTCAGGTTAGATATTAGGGTAACAACAGGCCTTTGTAAACATACATTTCAGGGGAGTAAGAATATATGGGACGCTTCCCAAGCTGCAAGGTACTGAGCTCAGGTGCCTAGCTCACAAGCAGCCTGGCCTTTCCTGAGATACTGAGCTGCGCTTCATTGCATTTCCTTGTAATTGCATGCTATTAGGTTGTCAGCAACCTTCTCACTGCATATTAATCATAGAGCTGAATATTTCTCTTCTAGTCTCTTTCCCTTCTAGGCTTCCCCCTGCGCCACCCCCCACCCAA